AGCATTAACTATTATCTAGAGTTTTCTGTAAAGGATTGATCGCGTTTCCAATGAGTCTTGCAGTGATATTTTATTTGTGACTTTTTCTTCGGCCGGAACAGATTAATTGCATTTCAATGCCTTCCTATGTGAAATGGTGCTTCGACTTACGACCATTTCGAGTTACGTCCATCTTCTGGAACGGATTATGGTCGTAAGAGGAGGCACCACTGCATGAATTAACTTCATTAAATTCATGAAAGGAAATTTTGCTATCCCTACAGTAATTTGCAATCAGAGAGTTGGAGGTCCTCCACTGTGTTGTAGGGCAAAGGGGCTGATGATAAAGAGAAATGTACTTGTCCTAGGATTGCAGCTGTTGTTTTGTTGTAGTGTGTTCAAAGCAAGAGGATGATTTTATTGCTAAACTGTTTGTGTTGTTATATTAAAGGAACTAGCAATATCTCTTGTGGCAAGCATTTAAAAATATTTCTAAGGCATCGAAACATGACGAATTTTGGAAATGCTATCATTTCATTGACAAAGAGGACATTATTTTCAGCAGCTGGAATGATTTGTAAAACTGTTATAAAATTGTACTCCCGTGAACATCATAAACCAAAGATGCCCTGTATTTACCAGGCTTTACATGTAAGCTGCCTCCCTATCCATGACTTGGTTGTGGATCCTTTTTGGAAGCATGTCCCACTTCACTATTTGCATGAGGTAATATTGGAGAGGATTACATTCATGAGACCCTCCCTCTACTGCAGCCTGGTTCGCAGTAGACAATATGTTCCTAACATATTCTAATTAAAGAATTATTCTGTCATGATGATGTTGAAGGCAGCATGTGTTTTTTAAAAACATTTTTAAAAAGATATAATTCAATCACCAGGAACATTCAACAAGAACCCAGAGGCAATCATGATTCTAATCCACTTCGTACTTCAATAAATACTCCCGGAAGTAAGAAATAGAACGATTTCCACTTGGCTCAAATAATATCACCTAGGTTTTCAGTTTGTTATGGATGCCCAAGAGGCACGTGTAGCTGCTGCATCAACTGAAATGGAAAGGGGTATCCTTAACATATCCTACTCCCATGCTTTTTAGGTCAACACCAAGACTTTTTATTACAGAAACAAGCTGGGAGCCCATAAAGATCTTTCATTCCAATGAGATACAATCAGTGTGGCAAGCAGTGATATGTAGGTATAATGCCCTCAGCACTGTGCATTCTACCAATTGCAATTTCAGAATTTTTTTTTTTTTTTTAGGCAGCATTCTAAACTGGACTTTAACCAAGGTATGGAGAACTGGGGCAAGTTCTTTTTGCCCCATAGAAGGAACTAAAATTGATGGGAGACATTGTAAACTACGTGTCACTTGGGCAATTAGAAATTGAAAATCAACCCTAATCTGCACCCCCTTGACTTTGTTTTAAATACAGTTGCTAATCTCAATTACATCCAGCACCCTGGATTCAGTGGGTCTAGTCTAGTTAGGATTGCCATTTGGATTCAGGACTTTGTAAGAGGTTTGGATATATGGGAGTATACATGTAGAGAAAAAGCTTGCACATTTTAGGTACAGTACGACTAAAAGTCTTAATTTGAGGGATGTGGTGGCACTGCAGGAAGGAAACGGTGTTCCGTGTCTAGTCGCGCTGGCCACTATAACAGAAACTATCTTCAGACAAACGTTGTCTGTATGGCTTGGAAACGGGGATGAGCACTGAGCCCTAGAGTCAGACACGACTGGACTAAATGTCAAGGGCATCCTTTACCTTAAAAGTCTAATTAATTTCAATATGTCTACACAAAATGGGACTAAAGAATTTAACCCATGGGTTTTTTCTTGTCCAAGCATGAAGAAAGGGGGGTTGTTATGTAAACGGGAAGGGACATGGTGGCGCTGCGTGTTAAACTGCAGAAGCTTCTGTGCTGCAAGGTCGGAAGACCAGCAGGTGTAAGATCGAATCCACACAACGGAGTGAGCTCCCGTTGCTTGT